GGGGGGGAGCTGTCCAGGTACCCAGCAGGGCTGCTGGGAGGGAAAGGTGCCTGCCTCTCTAGTGGTGGAGGGGGTGGGGGAGCCCTTTGATTGCAGCAGGCAGTGAACTGGTGCTGTTGCTTGCAGGGGCAAGGTGGTTGGGGGCGCTGCAGGGCTGGGGGAAGCCAGGGGACTGCGGGTCAGGAGTGAGGGCACCAACAGGTTGGGGTGGGGGGCAGGGATGCTGTTCCTTGGGAGTGAGGGGCAATGGTAGGGTGGAAGACTGTGGGTTGGGAGTACAGGGCACTGGCAGTGCCAGGGGGCTGCAGGTTGGGAATGAGGGCTACCAGCATGGATGGGGGGGCAGGTCAGGAGTGAGTGGCACCAGCAGGGATGGGAGGGCTGCAGGTTGGGAGTGAGGGGCACCAGCATGGCCCAGGGTGGTGGGGTACTATGGGTTGGGAGTGAGGGGTCACTGGCAGAGCCAGGGGTCAGCAGCAGCGCTGTGGGGGCTGTGGCTTGGAAGTGAGGGGCAACAGAATGGGCAGGGCATCCTCATATCATTGTCCCCACCACAATCATATAACCTCTCCCCCGCCTCCCTGACAGGTGTCCTCATTTTTGGAACTGGAAATATGGTAATCCTACCTAGGGACACATGTGTAGACACTGAAATGTTTACTGCAGAGCTAAGTAGCCATCTCCACAGTAAATAACTTGTGTAGATGCACCCATTGTAAGTATTGTTAGACATTACAGTTTGAATATGCTAACTCTGCGGTATTTTGTTAGCAGGTGCTGTGAACAGTTGCATAATACCCACTCTGACATGCACTGCTTTGAGTTGCTGCTAGAGGGCTGGGGAGAAGGGGTGTGGCTAGGAGCTGCCAGGCTCCCCCACTTTCCAGCCTCTTTCCCTCATCTTCACCCCAGTCTCTAGGGTACAGCCTCTGGCCCCTATGGTTCACCTGTCCTCCTCTCCCATCCCTATGGCTCACCAGCTTACTACAAGCTCTCCCTAGTTATCTGCCAGTCAGGGGCATTAATCATAGAATCATAGAAGTTAGGGTTGGAAGAGACCTGGGGTAGTCATCTAGTCGGGGGGGTTTCAACCTTTTTTAACAAGTGTACCCCTTCTGTCTCAAAGTGTCAGCTCATGTACTCCTTTATAGTTTTTTCTTGTTTTTAAGGAGTGGGGAGGAGAAGCAAATTGAGGCCCCCACAGTGAGGATAGTAGTGTGGCTGGGGCTTGGGCAGGGGCAGGCACTGCACAGCTGGGGTGGAGCTTGGGACGGAGCCATGAGCAGCTCATTGGGGGGAATGAGGGGAGCAGCTCCTGCTACTGCATGCACTCTGAGAGGGCATGGGGGGGGCGTGTGTGCCCCCAGCTCTGCCTGCTGCGTGGGGCGGGCCAAGCTGTAGCTGCAGACTGTGGCCAGGGCTGCGCCGAACTCTTCCTGACCTGGGCTGCACTCTGGGTGGGCGGTGGTGGCACTGGGAGTGGGGCTACAGGAGGGGCTACAGCCACTCCAGAATTTGCTGCAGTCCCACGCCTGGCTGCCTGCATGCATGTAGCATTTAGCCACATTATTGGCTGCATCAATTCTGCATACCCCCTACGACCTTTTTAAGTACCCCTCGGGGTACGGATACCCCTGGTTGATGACTACTCATCTAGTCCAGCCCCCTGCTCAAAGCAGGACCATCCTCAACTAGATCATTCCAGCCAAAGCTTTGTCTAGCCAGGTTCTGAAAACCTCCAAGGATGGAGCTTCCACCACCTCTCTGGGTAACCTGTTCTAGTATTTTACTACCCTCTTTGTGAGAAAATTCCTCCTAATATCTAACCTAAACTAACTTTGCTGCAACTTGAGACCATTGCTCCTTGTTCTGCCTCCATTGAAAACAGTCTAGCATCACCCTCTTTCGAACCCAACTCCAGGTAGTTGAAGGCTGATATTAAGTCTCCTCTCAGTCTCCTCTTCTCTGGACTAAATAAGCCCAGTTCCCTCGGTCTTTCTTCATGAGTAATGTCCCCTGGTCCCCTCACCATTGTCTATGTAGGGGTGCTGGAAATGCTATATCCTGGGATGCTGGAGGACTGCTTCCATTTTGTTTTCACCCCACCAAATAGGCTAATGCTACTGCAATATGAGCTGCCTAACATGAGCTGGAGATCATCCTTGGCCAGAAAGGCATAACTCTGAGATGCTCAAAGCCCACTTAACTTGTCTTTTCCTGTCTTAAAACACATACACTTCTGTCTTAGAAGCCTTTAACATGTTGGAAAGGTAACAGCAGCCTATGTTTCATAGCATTTCCTGACTTTTGAATGCTTGATTTTGTAACTTCAGTGGTATTCTAACTAATGTGTGTTTGTGTGTGTGTGCGCGTGCACAAGTGCACGCGTGTACATGCCTCCTACACAGGTGAACACTACCCTTGTAGTAAAAAGTTCCATTAAGCCTTAGGAACAGTGTCTTTTTTACTCTTCTGTAAACTTATAGGTGTTAAATTAGTCATCCATTAAAGTGGAGATGAAGCTCTTACCATCAAAAGAGTTTTTTTATGGGTGCAATTTAAAACAATTTCCCAAATGAAAATAGCTCTCTTGATCAAAGGTCTTTTTTGCAGGTGAACACCATCTGTACTAGAGCTTTTTTGGGGGCCAAAAGTGGGAAAAAAAAATCACACCCCAACAAACAGCAGAACCTTTAAACACTCCAGGCTTTTGGCTTGGAATTTTAGACAGATTTCTAGATAACCTGGGCCAAGTCACTGAGTACCTTGAAGATGAGGACAAACAGTGAACTTCTTTCCAGGATGTATGAAAATATGTCACTATATTACCATTTTTCAAAGTTGATGCTGCTGTTCTGTTCTTTCCCAAGAAAAATACAGTTATCACTGCTACAGGTTAAAGTATTTGTATCATTGAGACTTTTGCATCTCACTTCAGAATATTTAATTTTGCCTTTTTCATTTTTTGTCTAATTTCTTTAGGGTGTCCCAAAACCAAGTAGGACAGCACTTCACCTTTGTGCTTACAGACATTGAAAGTAAACAAAGGTTTGGATTTTGCCGGTTGACATCAGGAGGGAAGGCCTGCCTCTGTATTTTGAGGTGAGTGAGTATAAGAAAAAGCTGGGATTTCTTACTCTGTGCAATCGTATACTTTAGATTTATATTTGTTGTGATTTAAAATGATTTGGGGCTTTTAAATGGCTTGAAATTCTTCTAATACTTAGTTATACTTGTCTACAGTTTTGTTTCCCTTTTCAGTAATAAAATTAACTATTGAGTTTTGGCAAAATAATAAACTACTTTTATGAAATTTATTTTAGCACTAAAATATTTCTGCTTAAATAACAAGAAATTTAAGAAATACAGTAATATCATGTAGCTTTTCTGGGTTGATGTGTGAAGTGGGTTCTTATAACAGCAGATGAGAAGTTGCAAAAGAAGTAGTAATACTGATTAGATACTGCTTACTGGGTGGGTTTAAGACTCCTAAGGCAATTCTAAGAATCCTAATTGCATCCTGAGACAGTTGCGCACCCATATATGTGCATATGCGTGTCACTACCAGTGGCTACAGCCATCACTGGGGGTTGGGTATCCTGAAGAATAAGGAGGGAACCAGGCAACCTGTAAAGAGGAACTGAGAAACAGGGTATCTGGAAGTTGGGCAATGTATCTAGAAAACCATTTGACCTACCAACATGTATAGGGGAGAAAGTGCAGCAGGCAGTAGAGAAGTTTACATAGAGAACATGTTTTAACTGAAAATATTTCACCTGGTCTTTACTGGGGTATTCAGAAGACTGTAATGTATTGTAATAATGTTGCTTTTTTTGGAGGCTTCAAAAATAATAAGGAAAAAGGTGTGTGTGTCTGTGTGTGCATGCATGCACGTGTGTGGGGAAGCATGAAATGATTGCTGCCTGTTTACTTTCTGCTTTGTCCAAACAAGTAATGTGAACAAGTCCACATTTTATCATAGAAATTAACTGACTTTCCCATGGAAATAATAATAATTCTTTAGTAAAATCACTTAAAAAATACACCTCTTTGGCTTTTGGGAGCATGAGGTTGGAATATACTGAGTGGTTTTCTTTCCTATACTTTTCTGTTATGTTTTGCTGAGGCTCAGTGAAAACATATGCACATGTTCCTGTTCCCTCCTTTTAAAAAAAACCCATTTTCTGTATGTGCTCCTCCCTTTGTCTGAGTTCTCTCTAATCTTTCATCAGCTATTGACACCTAAATGTTCATGCGGAAATACATAAGTGGCATTATTTTTATCTCCTTTTCAAAAAAAGAGATGGATCCAGATCCTCAGCTTGTATAAATTGACTACCTCCGCTAAGTTCAGTGGAAGTACATTGATATACATCAGCTGAGGATCTGGCCGATGGTCTGCTACTTTGCAGAAATAACTAGGAAAATGAAAAGTGACAAGCTATAATTTTTCACTAAGCCATAATAAAAACATTGCCTTTCTTACTTCTATTGTGACAATCTCAAATTTACAATGTAGTGTTAAAGATATAGCAGTACCCGTTTTTATAGAACTGTACTTCTGGACTGGTAACTCATTCATTTAAAGCTCTTGGGGGTAGGGGAAAAATACTACTTGAGTGCAAGGAAAACTTTTCCTGCTGTTTCCTGGTTTCTAGAAGATAGTGCTGTGAAAGATTTGGTATGGTATGAAATGGCTTCATCAGAATGAGTATTGCTTTTCTGTTGTTTCCTTTATACAAATGAAATGTGATGTGAAAGCAGCAGGCTGTGTAAGACAATTGTATCAAGTATTCCTTAATACTTAGAATGTATGCTTCATAAATTTGAGATTTCATTTATGTTAATAGTAGGCTGAGATTGTGCTGAAACTCTAAGAGACCAGCTTGCATCCACGATTTATTAGCAGTGACCAAATGCATTAGGATTCACAAGCAGATTTCTACTGGGATTGCATCTGGCTGTCCCTAATACATGCTTATTTAACTCAAAAAAATATATTAATGCTGTTCTTCTAAAAGGTAATAATTTTGTTTGTAAAAGTATTAAATGTTCTATTAAAGATTTCTGCCGGCGGCTTTGATAAGGATAACTTTGAGAAGGTCATGGGCAGAAGGAGCTGGGGACTACTGACTGAACTGAAAGGGTAATATCTAACTAAACACAGGAGAGCCCATGAGGGCTCAGGCCAGAAAAAAAGAAAAGAAACTTTAGAAAGTGGGCAGATCAGTGAATGGAAAATAGAAGAAAGAATATGCAACAGCCTCGTATAAATAGCATCATGTCATAGTCTAGCCAGTCTTAATCTGCTAAAGTAACCAGATTTAATCTGGTTGGTAAAGCAGTGTTATTGGGGTGCAGTTGCTAGCTGCCTGGATGATGGTGCTTGTCCTGAGGCCCTGTTTTAGCAGGGATTGAAGTTCTCTGTGGGTGACTGTCTTTTCTGGTTCATGGGTCCCTCCTTCCCATAATTCATTTTTTTCTCTGAAATTTTAATCAGGGTTGTCCTGCATTTCAGCCACAAGATCATGATGTAAATTGGAGAGTAAATAGTAGAAGAGGTACTCTCTTTGCACATACGAATGCTCATTATATAAGTTGGGGGGAATCTTTCTCGGTGTATGCATAAAAGTATAGCCAGAGTTGTCTCTAACTAGAATATTTTATCAGCGTTTATAAAATGTCTACACCTCTAAGTGTATTTTCCTTATGCTGGTACAACGAAAGATATTCCAATGCATACATGTACGGGCACATGTATGTAATTGTAAAATTCAACATCTTTCCGTTATACTAAAATGTACATTAACACAGTCTGAAATAAAAGATTGTACAGGTTCTGCTTACAACTGTCAAACCCCTGAGAACATTACAAATAGGTGAATAACCATCCACATAGTACAACCAGGAAAAAAAAGGGTTGGGTTTCCCCCCAGGAGTTCTGTGTGATTCCTTGCAGGGCTCTTTAAAACAACACGGCTGCTTTGTGGAGCTCACAATGTGGATTCCTGCTGTGTGCATAGTTTCCTCGAACTTTTCAGTTAATGTACCCTCTAATACACAAGAACAATGGGGTATCCTCTTATGAGTCAGTATGTTTTAAATAAATCTGATTGTGGCTATCTACTAGATTATTTTTCCAAATTCACTTTTCTATATGAAGGCTAAATTTGCAAATTCACAGCTGAATTAGCCTAATAATTTTAATGCTATTTTTAATTGGTACAGAAGGTGTGATTCTTCTAAATTTTGGATGCCTAAATTGTTAAACTTTCAGATATTCTGAAAATATTGTCAAAAAATCTTCCTGCTGCTGACTGGATATAAGGTTGACCTTATTCACACTGAGACATGCAAAGGGTACAATTAAAATGTTCAGCCTTAGACTTGATTAATGAAATTTTATGAGTGTAAAATTGTCACCTACATTTCCAAATGAAATACTCTAATAAGGAAGACAGGTTTATATGGTAAGCCTTTGTAGTTCTTCAAATCAAACCATGCTTGAAGCATTCTCACTCTTTCCTTTAGGCAAATCCCTTAGAAGCAGAATGTTTCAATTTTACACATTTTGTGTCAATTTTCCAGACAGAAAAGTAGCCCCTAGACATTAGACATTTAGCTACGGAAAGGCGGTTTCCTTAGTTTTATTTGATTACTAGAAGTTAGATTCCTGCTGATAGTTCAGGACTGTTAGTGGTTACCTGACTCTTTGACAGAAAACATTTCCTTTCCTTTATTTAACCTTTGACTCATGAATATAAAAGTTTTATCAGACTTATACTAGAAGCACAAGTGAGGTAGAAGTCTAGTTACTACAACAAAGCTGATGCATGACTGAATAAAAGTTTGAGCTTCTGCCTTGTGGCTCATTTGGATTAAAAGAAAATGTTTACATACACTTTTAATTAACCCTAGAAAACCTTGTACTGTTGTTTTCTTGATAGGTGATGGCCACATTTGTAGATAGAAGCCACTGTAGTTCAAAATGTAAAACATTCGTTTCCTCAGACCATATTGTAGGCTTTGTATATAGGCTTTATACATTTTATTACAGCGAAATTTATTGTAGCACCTTTTTACAGATGAAGTTATTAGGTTGCCAGATTTTCCCACATTTGTTTTTCAGAAGTTTGTAAGGTTGTTTTTTTTTTTGGTAAAGAGCACACGTAAATTTTTTTAAAGCATTTAAATAAGGTATCTAAGTTCAATTTGAGAGATACCTTAATCATTTAGGATTCTGAAGCCTGATGATTTTGATTGGCAAATAGGGTTCAGAGTGTTTTTGTAAGTCGCTTAGCTGTTTTATGAAATTTTACTTTATGGTTCCTGTAAGTTAATACGTCTAATAGAAAGGGGCTTCAATATTAATTGGATCCTTTTGACATGATTACCAAGTAATTAAATGACAAAATATGCTTAAAATAAATATATGAATGTAAACAAAGTGTGAAACTCCTTTCCTATCAACTTTTTATTTTATTCTGTTCAAAATAAAGATCTGCCTGAAAATGTTGAGTAGTTGCTAAAGCTGCTGTTGTCATTATCACTACTATTATTACTGTGTTGCAAGCTTTTTACTATCATAGTTATAGTGAAACCATTTTTAATGTTTTTTTGTTGCTGATGATATCGTCTCTGCATTACTATTTTTACAAAAACAAAAAAACTGCTATTCAAGTAAACACATAGACACTGGCATACGTTTAACTGGAGTCCATCTTTTTTACTCATCAAGATAGTTGTGTTGAAAACAGTGAAACTACCATATGTAAAGGTTGTTTTCAAAGGATTACAAGATTTGTCTAAGAGGAATAGCTGAGTAGTTGCCCTTGCTCATAAAACTTTTTTTAGATACAGTACATCAGTACAGTAGTGCTGTGTTAAAAATTTATTTAATATTACAGTATTTAGTATTTAGTATTAGTATTTACCAAAAAAAATGTAGAACCCAAATCCTGCAAACATTTACATATGTGTAACTTTGCCCACATGAGTAGTCATATTCAGAACAATGGGATTATCAATGTGAATTAAGTGTTTGCAAGCTCAGGCCCTTCTGGTAGCCCTGAAATTTCTACACAAGAGTTTTTGTTGTCCAG